AGTGTAGCATCTTACATTTCTTTTTTGAATTTAATTTTGTTGTCTATTGCCCAGTTCTTCAATTTATCAAGATCCCTCTGAATTTTAGCTCTATCCTCCAAAGTGTTGGCAACCCCCCTCCCAGCTTTGTATCATCTGCAAATTTGCTTTCTATTTCTACATCCAGGTCATTAACATGGGGAACCTCAGTCATATAGACCCAGTTCAAAAGGGAGGAACAGGGTCAGCGGGAACCTTGAGTCCTGCTGTTGCAGAAATGAGAAATGGATAGGCTGCCTCCCAGAAGATTCTTCCTGATCTGGGAGGAGAGGAGAGCAGACCTCCCTTCCCAGACCCAAATTGGTATGCAAGATGCAAGCTAGCAACAGTTCCCTTCTCCATTTATAGATTGCGAGGGGAACCAGCTGGCTCACTCAATTAAGACACCAAAAGAATAAGAGGGTCAGAATGTGCATGTGTTGGAGATAAATGACAAAGGTCTCCCGTCCAGAAGGTAGTCAAAAGTTCATTGGGCATGGGAATCCCATGGGAAGTATGTGGGTGGAGAATGAGAATCAAGATATTTATAACATGCATGTTTATTCTCCTCCCCACAAACTTTAATAATGTAATTAAGTGATTTTTCAATTATATAAAACTGATTTAATCTTGTTAAAATTTAAATGTGGATAAAACTTAAGCCATTTTATAGCTATTTTAAAAAAATTTATTTAATCTAAAGCCATACGCCTTTCTACTCTGTTTGCAGCCAAAAGCATGAAACCAGACAAGTCTCTTGAAAAACATTCTCTCCTATATACATCCAATAGTTTTGTAATATGAATTTTCCTTTCCATTTTCCTTGCCGGGGTGGATATTAAACCTTGCCAGAATGTATTCATAAAAATACACAAATAAGGTAACAAAAGTAGCAGTAGGTGGCGCTCAAATTCTGCAATAATAATATATATATTTTAAGAAAAGAAGGTGGAAATGAAAAACATTTACTAAAATGTTATTCACATCTGGTGAACAGCAGGAATATTTAGCTATCATAACAAATGTAGTACTCACTAACACATTTAGCTAGTGTCTGAAATTCCACATAACTCCTTATCTTTTAACATGAACTCAATTTTACAAATGAGTAGAAAATGTACTGCAGTATGTATATTAGCACAATAGGCGACCTCTTCAATATGTACTTAAGCCTTTATTAAAAATAGAGTTTTTGGTTTCTTAAAACAATAGAACCAGAAACTCAGGTGCTTACTGACTCAGTTTGAGTGCTATTACTCTTCTTTTCTTTAAGAACATTTTTAGCAGCTATCAACCTAAAGAAAAGCCAACTATTCATTAATCGCCATGACTGACATGTTTAAGTTGGTAACTCATATTGTAAATTATAGTACAGATAAAAGCTGAAATGAATTTTATTTGAAAAAAAAAATTGAATATATAAACTTATTTTATGCTTGTGAAAATAACATTTGCAATACAATTCACACTAGGTTCCTACCAGATAATTCCTCCCCAGAGGAGGGAAAAGATAATGTAGAACAGTAGCGATCCCCAGATCACAAAGTGGTTTATCCATGTCCAGTAGTGTGTATCTAGTGCAAGCTGAAAGAAAACAGGTCATCTTGGTGTTTATATTATTTTTTTAGAAGTGATAAAAGACTCAACAGGAGATGAGGTACAAAGAAAATCAATGAACTATTTAAAGAATTAATCTGAGAACTCTATGCAGAACTGTAGGGAACAATGAAACCTTTCTATTTCTACCATAGTTAAGAAAGTTCCCATACCTAAGTACTAATCTTTGTATTCTGTATTGAGATCTAGTATATTGTGACGTTGTGCAGTCTATATGGTTTTATAAAAACTTGATAATAAGTCAATATAATGTAACTGGGATAGTTTTAGAGAAAATATGGTAATAAGTGAATATAACGTAACTGGGATATGCTTCATGCAAAAGGTCTCTTGTAAGGTATCATTACAAAGCTTATAATCTACTGTGTATGATCATCTGATTTGTATAAATGTATCACTCTTGTATCTAAAACTAGAAATATAAAATGTAACTCTGAGGGCCTATTGTAATTATGTAAAGTGTGGGCCATTAATGATGGTTTGGAATCTTGATGACTCCCATTAACCAGGACCATTGTCTGCAGATGGTTGTGTTTACCTGTTAGTCTTCCTGTATATGTGTGTGCTGGCAAGTTCATGTCACCTGAACTGGAATCCATCTTTAACCTGGTGCTTTTCCAGTGAGGGGGGGTGAAAACCCAGAGGGACAAAGGGTTCCCGCCTTATGCAAAAGATATATAAAGGGGTGGAACAGAACAAAGGGGAGAGAGGAACCATCATGAAGAATCCCCTAGCTATCACCTGAGCTGCAACAAGAGCTGTACCAGGGGAAAGAATTGTGCCCAGGCCTGGAAGGTGTCCAGTCTGAGAAAAACTTACTGAAGCATCTCTGGAGGGTGAGATTATCTGTATTTGGTTTGATTAGACATAGATTTGCGCATTTTATTTTATTTTGCTTGGTGACTTACTTTGTTCTGTCTGTTACTACTTGGAACCACTTAAATCCTACTGTCTGTATTTAATAAAATCACTTTTTATTTAGTAATTTACTCAGAGTATGTATTAATACCTGGGGGAGCCAACAACTGTGCATATCTCTCTATCAGTGTTATAGAGGGCGAACAATTTGAGTTTGCTCTGCATAAGCTTTATGCAGGGTAAAAGGGATTTATTTGGGTTTAGACCCCACTGGGAGTTGGGCACCTGAGTGCTAAAGACAAGCACACTCCTGTGAGCTGTTTTCAGGTAAACTTGCAGCTTTGGGACAAGTGATTCAGACCCTGGGTCGGTGTTGCAGCAGACTGGAGTGTCTGGCTCAGCAAGACAGGGTGCTGGAGTCCTGAGCTGGCAGGGAAAACAGAAGCAGGGGTAGTCTTTGCACATCGGGTGGCAGCTCCCAAGGGGGTTTCTGTGATCCAACCCGTCACAGTATGTCATGACAAAGGCTTGACTATTCATTAGGAAATTATAACATTGAGATATTACTAGCGCAGCCCCAGACGATTGTTTCACCGTCCTCTCTCTTGTTCCGCTTTATAATTAGGCTGTAACTGTCCTAGTTTATATCAGTTACAAACTTACGTATATAATTACTGAAAATTAGCAATTATAAACTGCTTCAACCATTAAAAGAATTCTCTCCCCCCTTATAACAAACAAATAATTACATAGTGATGCTCATTATTGATGCTCTCTTTTAATATAATAGGCTGTACTTATCGAATGATAGAAATATAAGTCATGAACTCCCAACGCTTCTCTCTTTTGACAGTGAAAATCTACTGGGGAAAGTATTCCAACAATGAACTCAGTAAAACCAGCTATTTTGAATACCCTGGCTAAAAAGTCACGTAAAAGGAATCCAAGCAAAATATAAGCATATGTGCATTTCTGTACAGAAATTTCCATTTCATTATACAGAATATGTAAGAAATCAGTATATTTAAACATAAACCAACTTTGATAGGGCATCTGAAAAGGGATACATCACCATACCAACCTAAAAAGCTGAACTTAAAAAACCAAACCAAACCACAAACAGGAAAAATCTGGCAATTCATTGGTAACATTGTGATATCATGTCAAGATCCAACTTTGGAACTCCAGCTAAATCCTTCACTCTTGAGCTGCCAGTAACCCTGCACAGATTCAATCAATGTACCGAGTTTTTTATAGCTTCACATGCCAACAGCTCTGGACAGGAGCAGAATCGACAAGCTCCAAAGGAAACCGTGTTTAGTTCTCCGTAAGTAGAAGGATTATAGTCAAAATACGTGGGGAAAGTTGGTTTTAGTAAACAGGATAGGGGACAACTATAGTTATTGATGGGGATCCCAAAGAGTCTCAGTAGATGAAATATCAATATAGAATATCTTACCTTCAATGTAACTGTAAATACTAGCACAGTAAACACCAGTGTTCCAAAGGTCCAGTTTCCAAACATCTATAAAAAAGGGTCAAAAGTCATTATAGGTAATGTACTTCACTGTATCACGATCCATGTAGAACAAACTATTTGGATATCAGTTTATTTTGCTCGTGCGCACACATTTCAGACTGCACACAAGCAACATACACATAATTAGAACACTCAGCCCAAAGCTCATTGGTACTTTTCTTTGTGTAAAGAAAAACTGCAGCACAGTTAGTGTGTCACTGCGCTGTTTCCCAGGAGAGCATTGATGATATTTTCAGAGTCTTCTCAACTGCCATCTTTCTGACCTCTCTCCTCTCTAGTTCTTGGAGTCACATGTCTTCATGGAGACTGATGAATGCATCAGTTTGGTAACAGGACAAGTAAGAATGGGATATCCATCACAGAAATGTAAGTATGTATAAACTTCACAGATTTAAAAAAAAAACAAAAAAAACCTTTGAGTAGTTGATACTAGATTTTTTCCTTTGATTCCTCACTACATGCACCTTGAAATAAAATCACCTCAACTACCCTAAATGAACATTGCTTTATGTAGCATACAATATTTATGGTTCAGGATACCAACATAATACCTTTTAACACCTACACATATATCCATTTTAAAAGCTGTGATAATGATGCAATATCTGAAGTATCTCATGCTCTTGAGATTCTTCAGATAGATGGCACAGAGAAGAGAATTGGAAAATGATGTGAAGGGGACCTGAGAGATGAACACAGACAAAACACGAGGGAGCAGCTGCTGCTCACTCAGTAAGAGACAGCATACAGCTCAGGAGCAGATGAGCTGAAGTTTCTTATTCAAATGTAGTGACAGTAGACTTCCAGCATGCTGCACCAGAGGCTGCTAGTTGGTTGCATGAGGGAAGGACAGACATGCAAAGATTAAATGAGCTACAATTTCTTTCCACTTCATTCCATTTCCAAGATTTATGAAAAATGTGCTATTTTATACTAGGATAGAATTGTATTGCAATTGATAAATATGACTTCTGCCTTATTAAAACAAGACACAGAAGTGGCATGTATATTTTCCACATACTAGTATTTGTAATAGAGATTAGGTGTTACTTAAAGTAAACTTCAGACATACTATAAATCATTTATTTCAGATACCAACTTTAACATAGAGCTTTAAAACAAAAAACAAAACAAAACAAAACCACCACCACCAACAAACCAAAATAAGTTTGGCTTTTACACCAAGAGAAATAAAGACCTTTTGTATTATAAATTCTGCAAGGTAGAGACTTTTTAAGTAAGTTTTTTATCTAGTACAATTAAGCCCCAATCTCAGTTGGGCCTCTACATACTACTGTAACATAATAGGATTATTAATAATATTCTGTCAAATCCATAGTATTATGTATATTCACTACTCAGTTATTTATCTCTAGGTTTTCATAAGATCGCCCCTCACCATGGTATCTGAGCTACTATCAGAAATTATAGTTATGGTAAATAAATCTTGAAATAATGTACTTTAATAGACTGAACAACATGTATTATGATAAAATATCCCAGGTTTTCTATTTTGTTTAATAGAGATTTTGGTGCGTCTTTTAAATTGATTTCCTGTGAAGGAAACCACCAGTTTGGAATCTGGGCTGCTTCTCGCTACATTGTTTGTTTGTAGCTCTTCTCCCGAGTTGGTTGCTAGGCTTTTGGTGCCCAGCAAAGTCCTCTCTACCAGCAACATGCCTCCCCACCAGCCCCTGTCATCTTTACTTCACAATGAGACAAGGACTATTGCAGTAGTACTCCTACAGCTATAGTGATAACAGCAGGACTGAAACTGTGCATGGAGTGTTGCAGTGACTGGAACAGGCCCGGCCTGGCCAGCCCCTTATACCTCATTGGATCTTCATCCTAAACCAAATGGGAAGAGAGACACCACAAGATTTTGGACAACTTCCGGAGCAGATATCAGGCAGGCAATCTGTTCCACATGAGAGGCACCAGAGCAGAAACTAGAAGGAGCACAGAGTCAGGTAGAAAGGGTCTTTCCTTCCAGCCATACTTTGATCTGGTGGACTTCCTCAACTACATGTTGAGGAGAAAGGTGTGGAGATGCCCAGGCCTTGACGTTCAATATCCTTAGAGATTGATGTCCCTTAAACAATAGAGCATATGAAGCTGTGAAAGCTCACTCAATTTGATTTAGTACTGATCTGAAGGGTTGACAACACATGGTGTCACCTCCAGGGATGGCAGCTTCCCTTTTTCACACGGTGATCCTTTGTCTCTCCACTGAAGCTTCCAGCAAGGGTGCCTCAGTGCCAACTGTGCTAGTAGTTTCTGTGATGTGGACAACTCTCCACGAGAAAGTAGATAGACACCGTCAACTCATTTTACATAGACCAGGACTCAAACGTCATCATACCCAATATCAAATTCTGAATCTCAGTTAGAAAGGATACCTTCAACCATATATTATCCCATAGTGTTGATTTCTCATTTAGCTTAAGTTAATTCCATTGAAACGAAGATCACATGCTGCTGTATTTTTAACTTCTTGGTATTTTTACATTCAATACATTTCAACAGTTCATCCAAATTTATCTGTGTATGGTGTTTAAGACCAAGAAACATTAAACCAATGAATGATTGAAATATTGAAGTGATTGTTCCTCCATAATCAGGACTTTCACATCCATCTAATTTCTTTATATAAACCTGTGAGAAACCTTTCATTCACTAGTTAGACCTTCTGCATTTAATCCTCTTACCTGTACAACCTGAAGGATCTTGATTTACTGAGGTTTTGTTTTGGTAATCAACTTGATTTTGATATGGTCACGGTCATGGCTGTACTTTTGTGTGTGCCACTTCTGAAAAATTCAGTTCACTTCTTGATTAGAGAGGCTAGGCTGGACTCTGAAACCCACTACTCAGTTGATTTGTTCAGGACTTGGGGGTCATGCCAACACATGCTGACTTTCTTCCAGCAATTAGATCTTCAAGTAATTAGCAGACTTTGTGGGATGGCAAGTCCAGATTCCCAGTAAAAGCAAACCCAGATGGTGAACATTTTACTTGAAATTCTGGGCATTGTGTTTTGTTTGCTGATTTACTATGATATGCTCCTACCCTCTTCGCCCTCACTATCATTCTGCTTCTGACCTCATTGTCCCTGTTCTCCGTGTTCCTCTCCAACTTTCCCTCCTACCTCTCCCATCTCTTCTTCTCCTCTTTTCTTTCAATGTCCCTATTCCCTTCTTTTGGCTTTCCCACACCCTTGCTCCTATTAACCCAGCCTCCCTCCTGCCTTTTCCCCCACTTTTCCGACCCCAATAATACAATTTAAAAAAATCCTACAACAAAACACCAAATCAAGCACACACAAAACACACTGTGAAAGTTATATGACATTTACCACCTGCGATCACTCTGCTTCTATGTTGCATTCCTTTCCTTACTCTTTGCCTTCTCTGTTTAGATTGCAAGCTCTTTGGGGAACATCCTTACTCTATGTTTGTACAGTGCCTAACACAATGGGGTCCACAATTCAGTTGGGACATCTAGGCACTGCTGTAGTAAATTGACTACTATTATTATTGACAGATCTTGGACACCTGAATTTTGCTTGTCAGGCAATTGCTCTGGGCCAGCCATTTTGCGGTCAGCTGGCCAAGAGAAATGAAAGACGATGGGTGATAAAGGACACCCAAAATACTAACAGTATATCACTTTAGAGATTGTAGTGGACCTTCAATAAGATTTCTAAATAAAGTTAGATGCTTTGGGTTTGTGATTTATTTTTAAGCTGAATGTCATGCCATACTCTGGCCTGTCACATTGGAGTTTTTCACCACAGTAAAGGACATTAGCTTGCCTCACATTTTTACTAGCCTTGGCGGCAGTGGAGATTTGGGGTAAAAAGCTGGGGAAAAAAAGAATACCTTCTTGATGCAATAACCTAGAAGTTGTCCATTTTAACAACTTGGAACCTAAGGTGGATCATCTAGTGTAGCTTCATGAGACTATCACACTTGTCTCTCCTCACCCCTTCACTTGTTTTTGACTCTGACTTGTTGTGAGATACTGAACTGATATTGTAAGCCATTCAAAGCTTGCTTTTGTGAGGCACTTAGCACATATTGGACACTCAATCATTGTTTAGATTTGAGGTGGATGTCCACGTTTCAGTTGATTACTTATCCCTGACAGCCAACATTTTCAGGCACCCAAAATCCATGCTTAACACTGAAATAAAAGGTCAGAGTTTCAAAAGGTGCTGAACTTCCCTTAAATTCTGACTTCAAATGGAACTCAGGATACTCAGCACCTCTGTCATTAGGCTACTTATTCAGGTACCTAAACATTACTATGGGTCCATAACTTTAAGCACCCAACTTTGAACATTTTGGGATGAGGCTTTAATGTGGTTTGGGAACATGGTTAAAAACCAAACTGGTTCATCTACACAAGAAGACTCAACTAAAAGATTAAAGATGGATTCTGAATCAATGCATCTGGCAACAACAAGAGGCTATGCGACTCCCACAGCTGTGAAAGAGAATTTTATGAGTACCAAAAATTGAAACTATATAGAGTTTTCAACCTCAGATTGAAAACATAATTACAGGAGAAACAGAACTACTGTAGCATACTGCACTGCCCAAAGGTAATTCTTTCAATGTACAGGCAAACTTAAAAAGAAGATTCCTGTCTTTTCTCACACAGTGGTTTAGTTTATTACATTCAATGATGTCACAATATCCATTCTACTCAAATATTACTTCTCTAGTAAACATAGAATTACATCTGACATTTCTGGACAGATATGTTTCACTTAAAATTGAGTAAAAAAATTACACAGTTGTATTCTCACAGTCATTCAATGAATCTTTTCTAAAGTTGTGGAAATGTCAGATATTATAAATCGCCTAGAGTTGAGATTTTCAATAAGACAAAAGAGCTGAGTGGGAAGCACTGATGAAAACACAACAAAATGCAAAGGAAAGCAGAAAATTAATAGTGTCAAAAATTTATGGTCTTTCTAATACAACTCCCTGGCTGTAACAATTTTTAAAGAAACTAAAAAGGCAGCAACTGCTAATATTTCTATAAAAGGACAGAAGTCATGAAAATATTTGTAGGAAATATTTTAACTGTTCTTTAGTTCAAGAACAGGGAAAGAGGCAATGCACATCATGACAAAACCACAATAGTCTTACCATATGAGTGTTGGTTGTCATTAGCTGAGGTTAGGAAGAGAAGCAAGTAGCAAAAAAGAAAAAAAAAAGCAAGACACAAATAAAATAGACCAAAAAATGTTAATGTGTAAATAACTAAAATGCAAAAGGTCCTTAAAAATTTATATTCATGTCACTGTACCATAAGTAGAAACAGAATGTCTTAAATGACGTAAAATATATAAATGTTAAACATGTAATTCTAGTCTGTTCTATTTAGGCTCTTGCATGGTGCCCATCACAAGGATATTCAGGTGTCTATCTTTTAAAAATATGCACAAATGAATTAAAGGAGTCAAATTATCAATATATATTGATGAAGTAGGTGTTAATTATGAAATAGCAAATTCTTACCGGATATTTCGAGTTCAGGTTATAAACTCCCTCCCCCACCCCACCCCCAACCAGCATGCAGCCACATGCTGATTACTGATACATGGTATTTTAGCTATATAATTCTGTTTCTGTTAAAAACAGTGTTACATATCACTCCTATCTCACTGCCAACCATAAAACAGTTATCTCTACAGGAAGCCTTTATGACAATAGTTGGTTATTTTTAATGAATTACGCCTATGTAAATGATAATTGAACATTTGGGATTTTAAAAGTTACAATTTCTTCATTTCCCAAGTCTAACTTTGATCAAACTAAATACTAACCTGTCCATTGCTGGTCACAGTTGTGTTGTCAAACAAGAAATAGGCACCAAAAAAAAATACCACAGCATCAAACAGTCCCAAGAATGTCCAATAAATAAATACACGCCAGCGCAGAAGAGCATTCTTGGTAATATCCCTGAATAAAACAAGACATATGCAGTCAGACTGGCATGCTAAAAAGATCCAAGAAATATGAACTCAACAAATTATTTTGTGAGAAGAAATATTTAAAATATTGTATTTGGAACACAGTTAGACATTTCCCATGTGACAAGTGTCTACCACAGGGGTCGGCAACCTTTCAGAAGTGGTGTGCCGAGTCTTCATTTATTCACTCTAATTTAAGGTTTCACATGCCAGTAATACATTTTAACGTTTTTAGAAGGTCTCTTTCTATAAGTCTATAATATATGACTAAACTATTATTGTATGTTAAGTAAATTAAGGTTTTTAAAATGTTTAAGAAGCTTCATTTAAAATTAAATTAAAATTCAGAGCCCTCCGGACCAGTGGCCAGGACCTGGGCAGCGTGAGTGCCACTGAAAATCAGCTTGCGTGCCGCCTTTGGCACGCGTGCCATAGATTACCTACCCCCGGTCTACCAGATCCACATTCATCTCTCTCCATAAGATCTACGACTTTTGTCTAGTCTCCTCCACTACTCGTTGACTATAATTCTACCAGTTCCCACTCTGATGGTAAATTCTGTATTTGTACTGTACCAGTCCAAGTTAGATTTCAATCTCTTCAGGGAAGGGACATGTTTAAAGTACAAGTTTTGTAAAGTGCTGTGCACAGTGATGACCTAAAAAGATATGTAATAAATTGAAACACTAGAGGTCTCTGGAGACTTTGCTTTCTTTTCCAGGCGGAAACTTATTACTACAATATGGAATGTTAACAACATAGGTGCAGTCATGCTTACCAGAATCGAAGAGTATATTAACATAAAGAGTATTACTAGAATGCTTTTCTTTAGAAAATGTGATTGATTGTTTGCTGGACAAAAGTGCTTGGCTATAGTAAATTTTCCCCAGTACATATGAATCTGAATGGTACTGGTTTAATTCTCATACATGGAAAATTGGGACATGGCCTATCATAAAATGGGTCAGAGCAAAACTGAAATGAAAAATGTGAATTATAAAGATCTAAACAGTACTTGGAAACAAAAGCACTTATACACAGTCTCCCTTTCCAACACTGATCATATCAATCAATATTTTCACCCAAATACCTTTTAAAAAAAAAACTGGGCTCAGGACTGTCTTAAATTATTTTTCATTGTGAGTAAATTACCCCATTCATTTAAGAGCAATTTTTTCAAAAAAATACATCACTATAAATGGCTAAAATAGCATCATATCTCATGTGGCCTACAATAATTTTGTGCTATTGACTGATAAAATAAGTTCAGAAGATCAGTGGGCATTAAATATGCTATGCTCTCAAAAGCCAAACAAAAATGTCACTCTCCAAAACAAGCATTTAATTTTTTTTTTAAATTGTAAGGTGTAATAAAAATGAGTTTTCAATAGCAGTATGTAATATTACCCTTAGGATCTAAGAGTTCACCCAACTGTGAAATAAATACCTGGAGCCATATCACACTTTTCAAGTTTATGCTTTGGGCATCTACGATTACTCTCAAAATAAGGCACTGGTTTTGCAGCTACAGCAATCCAAACCAGGCACTCATCCTAATGTGAACTGCCAAATGCAGTTTATTGGCACAGATAGTCATCCAACTGGCAGCAAAGAGTAATCTAAAATAGTTTTAGCATTATTGTCCTGCAAACTAGTCAACATTTTGCCGTTGACTATTTTGGTTTCCCTGCGAAAGGATCTTGGGACATGTAAAACTGATGGATGTTTCAGGGAAACACTATGGCAGATTGCAAGCAGGCTTAAGGTATTAACAAGCAGCAACAATATGCTTATGGGGCTTCAAAGAAACTTGTTCACATGGTGTCTATTTTGAAAAACATGTTGCTGCATAAAAGATATCTTTGACTATACCAACACCACTCACCTCTGCAAGAAACAAGGAACTCTCTGATGGAATTAGATCCAGCAAAGAATAGATTTAAGGAAAAAGGAGGGAGAAACTGCAGCTTTCAGTCTCTCTTTCCCCTCAAAAGAAAATACTATACATAGATATATAGTGTGTTTTGTTTCTAGGAATCTGCTGTCCTCCACAGAGGGAGGCATTAAACAATACTAAAAAGAATACATTTTTTTCACTCTGTAGGGCAATAATTTTCTACTATAATTCTGAACTTCTGTCTAAGATTGTACATGATCTACAGAGTTTATCCAGCTATTGAAATATATATATATATTAGGACTGTCACGTGATTAAAAATATTCATCGCAATTAAATCACACTGTTAAACAATAATAGAATACCATTTATTTAAATATTTGTGGATGTTTTCCACATTTTCAAATATATTGATTTCAATTAAAACACAGAATACAAAGTGTACAGTGCTCACTTTATATTTATTTTTATTAAAAATATTTGCACTGTAAAAAACAAAAGAAATAGTATTTTTCAATTCACCTAATACAACTACTGTAGTGCAATCTATTTATCATGAAAATTGAACTTACAAACGTAGAATTATGTACAAAAAATAACGGCATTCAAAAATAAAACAATGTAAAACTTTAGAGCCTACAAGTCCACTCAGTCCTACTTCTTGTTCAGCCAATTGCTCAAACAAGTTTGTTTACATTTGCAGGAGATAATGCTGCCCGCTTCTTATTCACAATGTTGTCTGAAAGTGAGAACAGGTGTTCACATGGCACTGTTGTAGCTGGCGTCACAAGATATTTACGTGCCAGATGTGCTAAAGATTCCCTTCATGCTTCAAGCACCATTCCAGAGGACATGCGTCCATGCTGATGACGGGTTCTGCTCGATAACAATCCAAAGTAGTGTGGACCAATGCATGTTCATTTTCATCATTAGAGTCAAATGCCACCAGCAGAAGGTTGATTTTCTTTTTTGGTGGTTCAGGTTCCGTAGTTTCCGCATGAAAGTGCTGCTCTTTTAAGACTTCTGAAAGCATGCTCTACACCTCATCCCTCTCAGATTTTGGAAGGCACTTCAGATTCTTAAACCTTGGGTCGAGTGCTGTAGCTATTTTTAGAAATCTCACATGGGTATCTTCTTTGCATTTTGTAACATCTGCAGTGAAAGTGTTCTTAAAATGAACATGTGCTGAATCATTATCCAAGACAACTATAACATGAACTATATGGCAGAATGCGGTAAAACAGAACAGGAGACATACAATTCTCCCCCAAGGAGTTCAGTCACAAATTTAATTAACGCATTATTTTTTTAATGAGCGTCATCAGCATGGAAGCCTGTCCTCTGGAATGGTGGCCGAAGCATAAAGGGGCATACGAATGTTTAGCATATCTGGCATATAGATACCTTGCAATGCTGGCTACAAAAGTGCCATGTGAACGCCTGTTCTCACTTTCTGGTGACATTATAAATAAGAAGTGGGCAGCATTATCTCCCGTAAATGTAAACAAACTTGTTTGTCTTAGCGATTGGCTGAACGAGAAGTAGGACTGAGTGGACTTGTAGGCTCTAAAGTTTTACAGTTTTGTTTTTGAGTGCAGTTACGTAACAAAAAATATCTACATTTGTAAATTGCACTTTCACAATAAAGAGATTGCATTACGGTATTGTATGAGGTGAATTGAAAAATACTGTTTCTTTTGTTTATCATTTTTACAGTGGAAATATTTGTAATAAAAAATAATATAAAGTGAGCAGTGTATACTTTGTGTTGTAATTGAAATCAATATATTTGAAAAGGTAGAAAAACATCTAGAATATTTAATAAATTTCAATTGGTAGTCTGTTGTTTAACGGTGCAATTAAAACTGCGATTAATCACGATTAATTTTTTTGAGTTAATTGCATGAGTTAACTGCAATTAATCGACAGCCATAGTATGCTATATACATCTGGTCATTTCCAAAATATTTCCAGAAGTACCATCTCAGGTTCAGTGCATCTAATTGTTAGAGGATGTTGCACTTCTTATATCGTGCACAGTGGAAGTAGTGAATCACTAATGGTATTTTAGAGGAACATTCCAAAAAAGACTGTCTACAAATGACAAGCCAAACATTTGGGGCTAAATGATTACCTTTACCTGTACAGTGAAGGTTCTCTCTTGAGCATCTCTGTACTGACATGTTGTTCCATTAGACTGTACAAGAGGATAGGAAGAGATGTGAAGCTGATATTGTACAGTGTTAGATACGCAGTATCATATAAAGGCTGCAGATGGAAAAAAGAGTTATATTAACCAGTTATATTTTCAAACACAATACACCATACTATGCTTGATTTAACAGGAGAATGTTGTCTTGTTTAGAGACACAAAAGCACATTCCTTAAAACGAAGACAAATTCCACATAGCATCCTTGGATGACTGTTTTTGAGATAGGATAAAAGTCAGTTTTCACCCAGGTTCCTCTGGGCAAACAAGTCAATCAAAATTTGACTTGACAATAGTCAGTGGTCCCCTCACAATGTTTCAGCTGTGCAAAGCGGCTGTAAAGCTGCCCTAGCTGGACAATTGATTCCCCTGGTGGGGGAAATCTCTGTCCGGCATAGCCAGCTCCACTCCACCCCCTTTTCACCCACCCAATGTAGGGTAGAGTTCAGGTGTAATGGCTGGAGTGTTGCTACATTCCAGTAATCCTCAGATGACATAATGGTCACTTGTGGGGCTATAGCTAGCATGTTTAAGCTAAAGCAGCTCTAGAGAACAGCTTGAATAGGGGGATCAAATCAGCTCCTTGACAGCACAAGGGACTGGGCATGAACCAATCTTTTTCTCCCCTTCTCCCTGTTCTGGGTCTTATTCTAGGTACATAATGTTTATCATCATTAACAAACCTATTCCTTGCCTCCTATAAAGTGAGGGTTTCTTCCAGACCCTGCCTCATGATCAGCCTATGCCCTGAAACATGTGCACTGAAAATCCTTACTACAAAGGCTTCTCCTTTTTTTTTTAAAGAAGTGTTATTTTTCATGAAAAAGAATGGCAAATTTTGCAGCCAAACTTCATCAACACATGCTTTAACATCTAGTATTAGCCAGAGAGTGCTTCACAAAATGCTAGATAGGTTTCAGCGCATCCCTAAAATTGAAAATAGTTTCACACTCAATTTTTTAAGCTCATTGGAGCTTTACTGTGAAAATCTATGAAAAAGGTCCAGTCGGTCCCCTTTTCTTCCAAGTTCCTGAATTTGTTTTCATCTCCCTTACTTCATGGGAGGAGAGACAAGGAGCCTTCCATACAACTTAGATAGCTGAGAACAGCCGAGGAAGAGCAAAGAAACAAGAACTTAAAAGAAAGAGGACCTGGCCCTCCCCCAAGAATACCTTATTTTTCTCTTTTGGAGAATTAGGTCCCTAAACTGGTGTGTTTATTTTCCCTTCTCCCACCCCTGATTTCCATGGTATGGGCATCTGCATGCTCAGCCTGAGAGAGCCCCAGATCAGGCCAGCTGCCTTCTGCACTTTCACCCCTGCCTCAAAAGACAAACCGTTCACACCCACACCTTTTAGATTTTCTTCTATCCATGCTCTGTGAGCAAAAAATCAATGGAAAGATTGAACTGCATGTTTTCCATGGAGATTTTGCTTTCCACAGCTAACTCTCAGTTTTGTGTTTTCCATTAAGTCTTTGACTCAGAAAATAATGTGGCTTTTCTGATAATTCATCAAATTCATTTCAGTAACAGTCATGAGAGCTCTTGAAAGCCACACTAACCAAAGGTAATAGCCTTCTTTAGAGAGAGCTGTAAGCTAAACTAATAGCTTTTTCAGCCTACCTGGTCCAGTAAGATTATACAGCATCCCAATGCTTTTAGTTAAAAAAGGCCAAAGAGAAGGTTTTACAATAAGCAGAAAAATTAAAATGCCTGACTAACCTGTTGTGAAAACCCACAGAAGAACTGGTATAAAAACTGAGGAAAAATGAAGCAGACATTCTGGAAGACAAAGTGAGAGTTATCAAGTGATGCACAATCAACAACATATATCACGCATTATTATAACCATGTATATTATAATATCGTATAATACTAATTGTGCTGCACACAGAATACAGAAAAGGCTGTGATAGATTTATAGAAATAGGGCATTCACATTCTCATTTTACATTAGCACAGATAAACACAATTTTGAAATAAAAATTATAACTACTCTGTCAAGTTGGAGGGAAAAGAGATGCTACATGGGGGTGGGTAGGCACAGAAGACAGAAAGAGGAAAGTAAGGTCATATCAACAATGGGATTCAGGTAAACTAGTTTCTGATATACTGTGGCCAGTCAGTGTGAACATAAATAGTAAAATGGGTTTCTCCATCCACATTGGTCAACTGAACTTAGAAACTGATTTAAGTTAGAATTACGTTAACTTTTAAAACACTGGTCCTCAGACTTGATTTAAAAGGCACTGTAGATGGTGCCTAGAACATGGGTGGGTGGGGGGCAGGGAAGGAGGGAGTTGCTGGAATACATATGGGAATAAAGATTAAAGACAAAATGAAAATTTTATTTTTAACCGTATTAACGATCACACAGTGCATACAAATAAAAGCTGTTCTGCCTCAGAGTTTGGTGACAATGATACTCCTGAGAGCATTCTGCATCAAAAAATTAAAAGTTCTGCATCAAAATAATTAAAATTCTGCACACAATATTTTAAAATTCTGCAAAAATTTGCAAATTTTATTTCACAAATAAATGTGGAGGCTCCAGCCTGGCAGTGGAACGAACAGACCACTGGCTGCACAGAGGTGGAGGATCACTCTGCAGCCTTCCCTGCCTGGGACACGGACTCAGCAGTGAGGCTGCACCCAATCCTGACACAGCCTGCCCCAGAAAGATCCCAGGGCCCTGCCCCTCCATGCCAGGTGCACCAGGTGTGGGCAGGCAGGCTCAGCAAGGCAGGATCCAAGTGTGGAGGGACTTAATGTGAGGGAATCCAGATATGGGTTGAGAGGGTTCTGTTTGCGGGCGGCTCAATGGGGGATCCGGCTGTGCGGGGGGTGGGGGGATCTGGATGCACAGGGGCTTGTTGCGGGGATATGGGTACAATGGTAATGGGACTCGCAGGGGGTCCAGGTGAAGGTGGTTGGGACTCAGTGGGGCAGGGTGTGGGGGTCCAGATGCTGGGGGAGTGGGGCTCAGTTGGGTGAGGATCCAGGTACAACTGGTTGGGGCTCGGTGGCGTGAGGATCCGGGTGGCTCGTTGGGGTGGTCCAGGTGCAGGGGGAGTGGGGCTCTTCAGCGGGGGTTTTGAATGTGTGTGGGGAGGTGAAGCTCGGTGGGAGGGTCTGGGTATGAGGGGGTCTGGATGCATGGGGATTTGGTGGACGGGGGAGCAGCTCCCTGTACAGAGATCCCTCCCCTTGCAGCTGAGGAGTGATGGGTGCAGGAAGCGGGGTGGGGTGGGTGGGAGGAGGGGGAGTTTGCAGTGCTTCCTGCAGCCGGGGGAGAAATCTGTGAGTAGGTCTGACCCAGCCCCGGATGCCGTGCAGGGGAAGAGGAAGTCCTGTTCTCCCCAGCCCAGCCGGGACTAGCACCTGAGTCCAGTGCAGGGTAGGAGCTACCTGTTGGGTCTTCCCCAGTCCCGCCTCTTGCCCCACAGTGATTTACCTCTCTGATGGCTGCCCGGGGCACCCGAAACACTGCTGGGGAGGGTCGCATGACTGCTCTTGTGGCTTCCCTTTGCTTCCCCATCAGAAAGTCATTTTTCTGCGGGGAAGCAAAGAAATATGCGGGGGACATAAATTCTGCGCATATGCAGTAACACAGAATTCTCCCAGGAGTACAATGAGCAAACCCACCTGGGGATTTGTATCTAGGAGTCAACAGCATTTTCTACAGTTGAGGGTACCTATTATATATAGTTAGTTAATACCATATGCATATTTGCGGATTACATGATCCTATCCTACCTTATAAAAGAAGTATTGCACAAGCTCTGATATTCTAACATAATAAAAATGCCCATGAACAAGCAACATTTTTTTCAAATGTTTAAATTTAGGTATTGCATAGTCACTATTTCTTGCAGCTTGACGGCCTTCTTTTCCAGTGATTCCTAGAAGAAAGAGTTGTTAGAAGCCGTTCAGAAAGCTAATGAATTATTTAAAACATACAAAAATACTGGCAAAGTTGCAGGGCACGTGGTGATGTTAATTTATTATTAAATTTCATTATACCTTATAATTAGCTGGAGTGTATAAAATATAAACATTAAGAAAATGGGTAATTAATTGTTTGAAACAACCTCTTTTTTTAAAATTATATTTATTTCCTTTTAAATTAAAATCTAGACCGCACACTTACCTATACCAACGTGTGCTTCTAGAATCATACTGACATCATTTGCTCCATCACCAATTGCTAATGTGATAGGGTGTTCCTTTGATAATTTAATCAATTTTACGATCTGAAAAAGAATTAGCATTAAAAATCTCTTTCCTGACATGTTTACAATTTGGTTACTGTGCTGTGAGATGGCATGTGGTGTACAGTTAATTAAATGTAAGCAACATGCTTACAAAGGAAATTCTGTGAAAGTGAAGAAAAACAGTTTTGTCCAATTCAATTATTATACATTATAACCAATAGATTTTCTTTGGCTAGAAAAAGCCTTGAATATGAATAGTCCTCTGGTTTTATAAGCATTATCAGTGCATTGTAAAAGGGGTAGGGGAGAGAGACTGTTGAGGAGACTAATGTAGAAATTATTCAGAAGTTTTGTTTATGCAGTCATCATCTACAGGCTGTGAAAGCTTTAATTACAATAATTCCCAAGGTACAGACTGTACATTTTCAGTAAAATCCTAAAAAAGAAGTTTTTATTTTCTCAAATGCTTCCTAAGCCAGTAAAGTTGCTTTTCTTTTCTTATTTCTTAAGGAGAATAGTTTTCTTGAATATTAATCTCATGATCTATTCCATGACTGGCAAAATGAATATCAAACTTGGCAATGAACAAAGATAATAGGGTTGTGTAAGTCTTTCGAATATAGAAGACCAAATATGGGAGAACAGATCCATCCATTTTAACTAGCAAGCATTATAATTTTAATAAACTGGTCTATTCAAACTAAATACTTATACAAACTTCCCCAGGATGAAAAGAAGAGTGACTAAATACATTAATTAGACTAAATGAATGTGCATGTGTACTGTACATGAGCACTAAAACAAAAATATGGGGATTCAAGATATTTATGTTCCCATGTTTTGTGTCATAAATATCAACATGCTTTAAAGTTTCCACCCCTGGAGTTATTAATAGTTTACAAACTGAACTCCAGGTAAAACAGAGTTTTGAATCTGGGAATATCTACAGCAAATTTATATGTTTATGTTAACATCAATGAGAAAACAGGAGTCAGAGAGTATTTCAAACAGTTTACACCATCTATCTCTTCTATCTGGATTTTATTTGTATTTAAAAAACAAGAACTAACACTCCACAATAATAGGTAACTCATGCTTCCAATAGTATCATGTAGTATGAGTAGAAGATGAAGCAATTGGTTCATTAAATATGTTTCATTCACCAGTATGTATCAACCATAAAAGTTGATCATATACATAAATCAAAATCAGGTGCACAGCAGGGTTCTCTTTTAATGTGCCATTACCTAATTGCTTTCTAGCAAAAATTCTCCTCTCATTCTTTTTCTAATTTTTTGCTTCCATTTTATAGGATAGAAAAGTGAAAGATAACATTTTAAATTACCATAATATGTCACAAACAGTAATGACTTTCAATATTTACATAGATGCGTAGTTACAAGTAATTGATCATGAAACACAAACCTGTGCTTTCTGCAAAGGTGCCATTCGACAGCATAACACTGCACTGCAGTTCCTGCAAATTTCAAGAAAGCGCTCTCTATAGTTACCAGAGCTCCCATCTTCTCTAGGTTTCATTATTAATGATAATGCTGCTCCATCAATAATTAAACCATAATCTTGCATATCAGTTGAAAGTCTGTTGAGGAAGAAAATGCAAGTGAAGAGCTACTGTAAAAATATATATATTTTGAGTTTTGATTTGGAAAGAGAAGGCGAGAAATTTATTTACCAAAAAGCAACATTAAAAGGGACGTTACCAAGGAAATATACTTAAAGTGAAAATCCTTCTATGCTGTTCCTGGCAAAATATTTTTAAATTCTAGTTTACTTTTGACTCATTCTGCTTATTTACTTTTGCATTTCACCACCTAGCTTGGACAATGAAACTAGATTGATTCTGTTTCATTTATGCTTTGACTTCCATGCACTAGTATAATGCTATTGTGTTTGGGTTTCCAGCACTGCAGGGGAATGTTTACAACAAAAATGGAAAAAAAAAAAGCAGTGGTTTTCAAAACTCTGTAAACATTTACATTTATAATAGTTTTTTCCCCCAACACCTCCTTCTGTCTCCACTGCCAACACACAACCTTTTGTTTATTTTTGACAAAAATAGACTGCCTAAGCTACGCATTATAATGATACATTATTGACATATTAAAAATTTCCCTCACATGCGTACCACCTTGCTACAAGTGACACCTGGAAAACAACAGCAGCATTAAAGTAGCACACTATTAAGTCAGAATTAACTAGAAAATGAGGTACCCTATTTATTAAGAGCTGACAATGAGCTTGAATGCTTGACAGGACAATGAAATATTTTCATTCTTAGTCTAGTAGCCACTTAGCCACTCAACAAGCATAATTCAATATTCTCTGGTTCATAGTATCTTTTAAAAATAAAAATAATATGTTTTTCATAACCATGATCTTTTTCCATGATCTATTTTTAGCAGTGGAATGGTTAAAATAATGCAAGTCATATGACAAGCCAGAGGATGAAGAGTGTAAAGATTTTTTGCACGTAACAAGCCTAAACGAGGTATTAGGTGCTATACAGTAATTCACACTCTGGCAACATAAATTGAGCTACAGTATATTGCTGCCATTGCTGTTCTAACAACCATTTAATTAAATTATGAAATGCCCACCAAATCTTTTCTTGGCTTGAAAGCTGAACTTTCTACATACCCGGAGAAGTTGTCCCTGGTTAAGCTGCCACTGTGCTTTAGGACAGTTTTGCTTAGGTCAAACAATACATCATGTAAACTCTGTTCCTCAATTTTCTTTGTGGTTAGCTCCAGTAGCTGTGTGTTTCTTCTGAAGAGTTTGCAGGCATAGCATGTGGCAGCAGCAGTCTCCATTTTGTCTCCGGTCAGAACCCAAACTTTAATGCCAGCTTTCTGGAGTGCTTCAATCGTGTCAGCAGCTTTTTCTTGCAGCCTGTAGATATCAATTGACAATAAATATTGATAGACTGACTGGAAATGAGAAATTCAGGGTCCTTACTAAAAGGTTTCCATGACACGAACAGTATTTCAGTAAAAGGTTTTAGACACAAGAAGTTTCTAATATGATGAAAATCATAGCTGGGAATCTGAAAATGCTTAAAGACAAAGATCAGCATGTTATAAGTAATGTGTCTTGCCATTTTAAAGCTACTCAAAGGTTTCTGTTTTCATCTTTATTACTTAAAGAATCGGATGTTTCATCTCACCAGCTCCAGAGCATGTACAGACACAAAACATATCCAGTATCTTCAATTAGTTGTGTTAAAAAAATGAAATATCTAAGTTGCTGGGTGATAAAAGTCAGACATACACATGCCCCTCACAGCACCCAATAAGTGTATCTTTTGCTCCCCTCACAAACCCTAAAGATTCTCACTTCATTTCCTCAGACTGCCCATCTCAGAGACTTGCTTCTCCATGATCTTCCCTCCAGCAGATGAAGGGTACACAGGAATACCACCCAGCCCTATCACACATCAGTGCTGTCCCCAAAAGTGTGAGATTCGCTTTTTTGTTCCCCTGGGGCTCCACAGCCTTCATAGCCAGAACTAGTGACAAATGAAGAGGTCCAAGCAATGTCTTCTGAGCAGACCTAATCTTGCTGAGTTTTGTATGCGCTTTTCCGCATGGAGTGAGAGATTTTATATAAACTCCATAAAAAGCAAATTAAAAGAACATTATTATTGCAAAGCTAAGCACTCCAAACTCAGGAAATGCCAGAATTAAGGTAGATCATGCAACCTTAATTATGGTCTGTGTGTGAATATACAGTACAGTCTGATTAAACAATTCTAGGAATATGCTGACTTTGATATAAACCAAAATGTTCATTACCATTTGTGATTCAAATAAAATGAGTATAGAAATACTTGGGTAATATTCACGACATGTTATTCTTCAAAGTTTTATTTTAGTATGGTATCTATGACTGAAAGAAATAAGCCATATTTAACATTTTTATTGGTAGTAGATCTTAGTCAGAAACATAGTAGTAAAAGTAATAATTTGCAACACTGATTATCTGAAAATACTGATTTCTGTGTATTTATTATGCATAACTGAGAATGTAGTTAGCTAATTTATAGGAGATTGATACAAATAAAGAGATTTGTGCCTAATACAGAAAAGGAGGTATAATTATTGCACCTCTGGTTCAATGCCTCTGATAATAGGCACATCTTCCCATTTATCACATCATTCAACATAGTCAAAGCAACATACTTACTGGTCTTCAACAGCTGTAGCACCAAGCAAAATAAGATCTTTCTCTATCTGCTCATATGCCTCTGCCAGTTTCTTTTCCCGATCATGAAGGGCTAGCTTTGCATTCTGAAGCAGCTTGCACACACTATCATACTCTTTGCGTGTGAACTTTTTATATGCAACACACAATGTTCTCAGTCCCTCCTAAAGAATATGATAAAAACAAAGAACAATGTTTATACTATAAAAGTCTTAAACACCATTAAGAAAAATTCTGAAAATAGAAGCAATTAATATTATCTAATATTTATGATTAATGTGAAGAGTCCCTCTTTGGCTCCTCTATATCAGTTTAGGGCTCTATTATGACTATATGATCTGCCAGAGCAAGAGGCATCAGGATGTTATGCTGCCCTGAGAGCAGCCTGGGAGAGACATTGTGACCCTCCAAGTAGGGAGTAAATTGTATTGGGTCTATACCCACTGCAGCACACGCTGCCTGACGTGCTAAGGCAGCTATCCTGCTGAGTCCGTAGGATAGGTAGGTGGAAAAGCGTGGGAAACCAAGGCTATATGTTCCCCTTTCTGACCTCTCCTACCTACCTGCATGGAGCGGGAAATGTACTTGCTTTGTGGAGCCTGCTGCCCCTCCTCAGCTGCTACCTGCAATGTGGGTAGCTGGTATAAAGGGGTGCTTCTCACTCTTAATCCCTTGTGCTGCTGCACAAGCAGGGCTAGAATTTGGCTCTTGGCTGGTCCTTACATTATATACACAAATATTTAATTTGTAGGCAAGCATTTTGGTTTATTAGAAATGTCCCTTTAAAAGGGAATCAAGTTTATAATTTTTTCAGCTGATTTTACTCATATATTTTCCATATTAAAAAGATCAGTTTTAAAATTCTGATTCATTTGCAGAGATTATCTTTAAATATGTACAAATGAAAAAAATACTAAAACTGTACAAAAATAGACCTCACTTTTGAGAGCTATAAACAATTGTCTAATCTAAAACAATGCATGTTTCTCAGTAACTCCTTATACACTGAAAGGGCAGGCATCTTCCAATTCTGAGATAACTAAATATTATAGTTATATTATTTTGTGACGTTAAGCCCAAAATACCTCAATGTCATGATAATCTCAATCCTATATTTACTGCACATATTTTCTTGATTTATAATAGTTTAATTCTAACAGAAGAAGAGAAAGCAAGCACATACGAAACAAAGCAGGATGTCAAGTATCTCATTAACAAAAGGAAACCAAATAAGAAGCTACTTTCTTGTATGCACTGGTCTGGTGAACGATCTAGTTCAGTACCTTTTTCACCATAATGTTACACTTCAGCAAATGCACCAAAGTAACTGGACTGAAAGTCAGGTGGAATGACAAGTGTTCAGAAGGCCATACAACAAGAACATTTTCCTTTGACCATTTTCGATGCAAGTATGATCAATTATTTTCTTGCTGGTGTCAGATATTGTTAAATATTTATGTAGTGCCAAAACTTTGAATGGTACTTTACTGAGAATTATAAATGGCACAGTCCTCAAGGAGTTTGCATACTTATTTAGAGAAACAAATAAAATGAAGATAAAGGAAGAAGCAGTGAAAGGAGGGCCAAGGATTAAGACCAAATGATAACATGAGTCATGTTATGTTGTGGTTGAATTATATAACCTGTGATTTTTTAAATGAAACTGAGGTAGCGCAAGAAGGATGGAGTGGATAGAACAGGAGTGGAAGTGAGTGACAGAAATCAGGGTGAAAGAAATGGGTTTTGAGGAGGCATTTGAAGATGACTGAAGGTGCTTGATACATTACAGAGGGAGGTCATTCCAGTTTGAGGAATGAGTGGGTGGGAACAATCAGCAGTTAAGAGTAGGCAGATTGCAAAGTCCGAGGTGGAGAGGGTCAAGAAGATAAGTATCATGTGTAGGCAGGAGTTCTCTCAAGCTTTCAGTGACAAAAGTTTTTAACTTTACACAGAAAGAGACAAAGAACCAATTAAGGGACATGGTAAAAATAGCAAGAAAAGTTAATTACAGTTGTAGATTGCTGGACAGTCTAAGAGTTGAAGAGAGAAATAAGAAAGTGCCAAAAAACCTCCAACATTTCCAGTTAGAGAGATGGGGAGGATAGTGGAGTTATCAATGGAAACAGAGAAAGGTGGGAAGTGTTGAGGGAGTGATGAAAAATTCAGTTTTTGCCATACTTAATTTAAAATAAGTACTATGACATTCAGGAGAAGATATCAGGATGAGAGGAAAAATACATGAACCTAGACAAAGGGGTGAGGTCTGGAATAAACAGGTAGATCTGACAGTCATCAGCACAGAGGTGACAAGACATCATAGGAGTCAACAAGATCACCAAGAGAGTAAGGGTAGAAGGAGAAAAGGAGAGAACCTATGGCAGATTCTGGTCACCACTTATAGAAATGGAGAGGGAAGGGAAGATGATCCTCTGAAAAAAACATCAGTGAGGCAGAAGAGCCAAGAAAGGACAGAATAACAGAAGCCCATGTTAGAGAGAGTGGTGATCACAGAGTGAAAAGGCAGGAGAGAGAGAGAGAGAGAGAGAGAGAGAGAGAGAGCATTCCATTTTTATTTCAATTAAATATTGGAACTTGAAAAGAGCCCTCCTGCAATGCAGCAACTGAATTTGAGGACTAGCAGTAAAGCATTTCACTGTGTGTAAATATCATGCGTTCACCTTCACACTGCACTACTGCAGGGGTTGCGTACTACTATATTTTTGTATTGGCTCACAATGGCTTGTGGCTTCTGTTGCTGATGTACAGTACTGTAAGCATCCCGATGACTGCCCACAATACCTAGATCAATGGTTCTCAACTGCGGGTCTGTAGCCCCCTGGGGGACCGCAAGGCAGTTTCAGGGGGTCCACGAAGCAAAGCCGGCATTAGACTGACCGGGGCCTATGGTTGAAGCTTGGAGCCCTGAGTCCTGGCACCCACTGGGGTGGAAGTTCTGAACCCCCCTGGCTCAGCGGCTGAAGCCCGGAGCTCTAAGGTCCCCCTCTGCCCCCAGCTGGGCCTTGGAGTTTTTATAGCATGTTGGTGGGGGCCTCTGAAAGAAAAAGGTTGAGAATCCCTGATCTAGATCACATCCTCCCACTCCCTATTTGTCCTTGAAATAGCAGAGCACAGTGCCAAGGATAAAAACAAGTAACAATCACCAAAAATGAGTTGGAAATTTTATGGCAACAGAATTTCACTTGATCACCAACACTTCCAGCCTTGAGATATGGATATTGCTCTCCACAGAACAGTACTGCAAGAGTAGTAATTATCATACCCCTTGTAATTTGGTGTTTCCACTTTCTATCTTGATCATGACCAGGAAGCACAGATTTGAGTATATTATTTTGGTTTGGATTACTTCTGATTTGATCTGAACTGGTTTACATATCTTTAGAAACAATAGTGCTATTTATGACAAACTATCATTGTAAGTTCCCTTTGTACTGTTAAATAGTACCTTCAATGTAACCTGAAAAGTTAAAGGAATTTCCCATGAATCTAACTAACAAATATATACAAACAAGTCTCTTACAGTTTGATGGGCATTACTGGACAATTCTGCTCTATAACATAACCTACCACTGTTACCATTTTGGTTTTATATATTTTAATCCATGAGTAGAATTTATTGAAACAGAAGGTAAGTAACCTATGTATAAATCAGAAATGCAATATGCTCTTTTTTTAATTATGTCCGTAAGGAGCCATGAGGAACAAAGCCAAGAATGTTTATTAATAAAGTGATTAACTCATCTGAGCCAGTGCCCAGAACACAGTTGCCAAAGGTGACTGGATTCAGTTTTTGAAGAGGAAACAACATTATTCCATTTTTGGAAGGGAACATATACATAAGAGGATGAAATTCCTCCCTGTAGATGATCAGAACAAGGCCAATGCATTAAATGCCACATAACCCATTTACAGGTCTTGATGCTGGCTCTCTGCACAAAGGTGAACTTTACCTAAAAATGAACATAAGAAAATGAATGTTTTTTTTTTGCTTTGTTAGATCAACAGGACTGTCTTGCTTGTACAGAAGAGCAAGTCAGTTAATTGGAATTGGAAGGACAGCAGGTCTTGCCCTTGGTGTTACTGTACTTTGCCTTAGTAAATCAGAAAATCCTAGCTCCTAATCTGAATGTTTTAGGCTAATCTTCCCCTGGCTAAAACTTGGGCAGTTTGTGGCTGTAGTGCTTTGCCCATGAACTTCGATTATAAATTTGTACTCATCATAGAATCCTCTATATTTTTTGTACTTTTGGTATTTAGCAATTAACAACTACAACCACCTCTCAATTTAGTTTTCCACTTTGAGACAGAACACATTAATAGCCACTTCTTGAAGAAGTTAGCTTGAGATGAGGCTCTAGTAATTTTACTCCTTCCAGTCACAACAATTTGGGCAACTAACTTCGTGATTATACTGACAAATTGATCTTGCTTCTTGTAAAAAGTGAATTCCATTTTCCCTAGCAGTATATTGTCCTGGACACAGAATCTGAAGTGTTATTTTAACGTTAGTCAGTAAAGTCTACATGACAAAATGAATAATATAGTTTTAGTAATCTTTCAAAAAAAGAGAGGGAAAGGACCAGATCAATATTGAAAGCATGACTCAATCTAACTGTTCCAGTTTAGTTGACTGCTAAGACTAGATTCCAGTAACGACCTTTCAAGTTGGTTCAAACTTTTGTACTATGGACTATATAAGAATAAGGAAGCGTTTTATTTCCCAGTTAAATGACGTTGTCAGAGGGAATATATTTTAAGTGGGATTTAATGTTATTATGGAAGATTAATCAAGCAAAATAAAGATAGACCAGCTCTCTACAAAGTTACTTATACGCAATCCAAAAAGGACAATCATCAGGACATCTATGAGATACCTATCATTTATCATAGCATGAGAGCCAATTTGCTGCCTGTATGCTCTTGCAGAAGCTGCTATATTTAAGAATTTGGCATAAATGCAATTATCCAGGATGAAGAAATATTGAGGCTGAGGGTCTTGATTCTCTCTCAGACTCTGCCAGAAGTCGGGTGGATATAGTATATTAAATTGCTCTTTCAGTTTCATTAGCTTCTTCCACCTCTAAACAACCATCCTCTCACAGGGGAGAAAGCTATTTTATATAGTAAAGCTTAGTAATGTGCTCTGGGAAAGAGTTTTAAAGAGGAAATCCACTTTTCCTCTAAAACAGCAGATAACATTGATGGACATTTCTTCACTTTCTGTAGTAATACCTGTTTTCAGTCTGAGTATTTGATGCCAATCAATGCTATCTTATTTTAAGAGCGATAATAATATTTAATTTAAATGGCCTTTGTTGTTTTTTTAATGGCATGTGAGACAAGTATTTATAACCCCATATCCTATCTTTCAAGTAACCAAGTTGGATATTTTCCCCAAAGGAATCAAGCAAGCTCATACTTCCTTTTTAGTGAGCAAAAAATGTATGTACAGGCATTGTTGTAGTATTGCTTCCTCATAACAAGAACATTTACAGCTAAATTATGTTCTAATGGTTTCTCTCTCAGGAGATCTTGTGAAGTAATCTAAAGCCAGTAAAACTATCAGATGCCAAAGCTGGAGACTGAAAATGGGGGTGGGATTTTCAATAGGAGTTTTACCACTGACTTCAATGGGGAAGAGTTAGGCCAAAGCTGAGCACTTTTTAAAAAACTCAACTTACACTGCTAATTAACTAATTCTAGATAACTACTAGTTAGATTAGCCTCACCACATAATTATCTTGTAAATATTCTTCAAAATAGGGGTTCTTAGTGTTTATTAGGAATTGGGGCAAAATCACACCTCAGAGGAAAGGGGGCAGAGGAGAGAGGGGGCTCACTTTTGTCGGCAGCTACTGCTACAGGGGCTATGATGAAGAGTAATCCTTGCACTCAGAAGGGCAGAAGGACTTTAGCTGCGTCCAGGTCTGGCACAGCGGTGGAGGCTCCCTGAACCCTCCTCCCCATTTTGGTACACAATGCAGGACCAGGAAATACCATTTGATATTTAATCTTACCACTGCATTGCGCTCAACTCTTGATCGTATTTGGTCTATTTTGCCTTCTGTAACTCTAGGAAATATAGATGAATCTGCTCCCTTACAAAACAGAAAAATGTCACCTAAAAGAGACAAAATACGAAGTTTAAAATGGTTAAAATTTATTTTCTTAATTTTTTTTAAAAAACAGGTTAAATATCTTTAAAGACAGTTTCTTCAGACATACATTGTTCTGAGAGCGCTAATTACCATCTTAAAACTCCAAAGCATCACTGAAAGAGCAGAAAAGAGCAAAGCATGAAGAAAAGAACACTCTGGTGAGACCCAGTTGAATTCAAAATCAAGACAAAAGATCACAAACCACTAACCCCCTCCCCCGAAAGCAAAGCAAATTCAGGATATGATATTTCTACCTGCCACTGATCGGACAATCACACTCATTCGCCTCCTTACAGAATCAAAACTCAACATCTCTAACAATTCAAACCTGAAAGAGAAAAAAAACATTTTGAAGTAAGCCTGTTTTTTCACATAGCTAAGCTTGTTACTGATCCTAGATAATAATTTGTAAGTTCTGCCACATGGAACAAAGTAAGATGCAGTCAGTTAAGGAAAAATGGGTGAGTCCCCTGGCAACCAGACCAGGAGTTTTGTCTGGATAATGACTGCATGATGGAGTCCAGTATCCAGTCACTGACAGCAGCCAGTACCAGAGGAAGATGAAAGAAACCCTGTAACACAGGGATATGGAATATACTACTCACAGGGAAAGTTTCCTTCTAGTCCCCAATAGCTAGAGGTTGTCCTATGCCTTGAAGTATGAGGGTTTATATCCCTCAGATGTTTTAGGATTTTTAAAATTTATTATAACACTGAATATTCTTGTTGTCCCCAAAGGAAAATGACACTCCTACCCCTAATAAATCCCCACCCAACACCAATATTTCCCTCAACCCAATGATTCCCCTCTATCTTCTCCATACCATTCATTTAATGTATTTTATCAGGTCCCTTCTTAATATTTTTTTATGAAGTAAAGAGTCCCAATTTTTTTTCAATATAAACATATCTTTAACCCAAGTTCTGACCTCTGAAAGGCCCTTCTCCGTAAATATTTTACTCAAGAAAAATGCTCTAATCATTAGACAGACCACATCATATTGTTTTCACTTGTTTAATCAGAGAATTTACTCAGTTCTATGTTATTACAGTCTGGAATTAAAAAAAAAAATCATCTACGTAAGGCCACAATACTACTTTTGTTTGAAGTCAATGGTACAAATCTAGCAGGAAGTTGAATCAGGCTTATGATTGCAAAATGCAATGAAAATTGGAATAAGTCCAAGTATTTTTTAGTACTTCCATACTTCAACTGCCAAATTATTACTGTGCCTCCATTTGCTTATGAATTTAGTTATAAATATCAGAGTCCTATATTACTTAACAGGAATGAAACCAATGGGGTACTATACAAATAGGATTGTTTAAAAAAACATATGCAAACAGATGAAGCCATATTAATTTTCTATACCACATAAACACCATTTTGCCTTGGACTATCTTGTTATACCTTTGCCATTTTCCCATTTTTCCCATTACATAGTTTCTCAAACTGTCAGAGTAAGTGAAAATAGAAAACGAGAAGTCCTGTAAATTATAACTATCAGTAAAACATTAACCTTTTTCAACTAAGTGGTTTCTTATTTCTCACAATTTTTGGTTTACAAATGAATATACTTAAGGAAAGAAAAAATTGCTGTATACACTATTGATAAAATCCATTTCCTCAGTCCCAACCAGTTCACATTTCCACAACCACTCACCTCTCAATATCATTTTTTGGATTTAAAATTTCCATAAAGTTGTCCTTCAGCCTTAAATATGTGTAACCAAGCCTGCAAATTTAAATGCAAATTCAGACAAAAAGAGATTACAAGTAATACATTTATAATTACGCAGCTTAGCATGTTGTAAGTACTTAAGAATTAACTTTATCTTCTGAAATAGAAATAGCCTGTTTTGATTTCATTCATGGCTAAGGATTACTAATGTATGCTGAGAAGATAGTCAACATCACGTTTATATGATTCTGTAAAATTGCCTATTAATAATATTTCTCTGCTGAAATATATTTTCAGCTTCAATTAACTGAATATCCATATTCAAAATTATTTTGGAGACCTAAAAACTATCAAATTACACACATACCTCTGTATTCCTTCAACTAAAGCAACTTCATCAGGTGATGATGATATATACACACAAGATCTTCCAGACAATTGGGCTTTCTTTAATCCATCTATATTGTCATCCTCTTTCACTTGAACAGTGTGACAAAGACAAAGAGCCCGAAAAAATAGCTCCTCTCTCTCCTAATAAATAAAAAGGAAAGTATTGTCATTATATAGTATTATTTTGAAAAGGGATAAGAAAAATGAAAACAAAAACAAAAGAAAACCCAATCTTCCTT